AATTTGATTGCATTTTATATGATGATTATAAAAAATAGTATTTTTATATACAGAAATTGTTTTTTTCATACAATTTCCACAATTAAAAATTTTTCACATCGAAACAAAATAAAAAATTCTGTATCCACAATGTAAACATTTAGTTGGTTTTTTTAAAATTCCTGTTTCAAAAAGGTATTCTAAGCATTTTTTTCATCGAGTAAAATTTCAGTTAGTTTGTAAAAGCTTGGAAATTTGATATTTTTTTCTAAATCCATGTTTTTTTACAAAAAAATGCAGTTTTATTGCAATTTATAAATATTATGTTGTGTTTGTTTATTGTGTAATTTCTTTAACGAAATAATTTTCTAATTGAAACTTTTTTTTTTTTTTTTGTTTAAAGGTTATTTATTGTTTTTATATGGTTTTTTTTATTTGCTTAAATTTTAACTACTATGATTACGTTAGTGTTACGTAATCATAGTAGTTAAAAATTGGTCCAAAATGCCCGAAACCTGGTTGTATAAAGGAGATAGAATCTGTGGTCGAAATGCCTGGAAGTCAGGATATCGATTTAATGGAAATGTCACCTACGATATTTAAAAGCCCTCTGTTTACCCAGAGTGATACATCAAAAAAACATACTAATAATCTCAAATTATTTCCGGATAAACCATCTAACAAAAAAGCAAAGCAGATAAAAAAAGAATCGCTTACACTAAAGAAACTTATAGAAGAATTATCTACCGAACCTAGTACTTCGCAAGTTCTTGTAACTAAAAAAGAAAATACAAATAATTTTGTTGATTTGTACAATAATATAACCCATGCAGAAACTGAAAATGAAATTATAAATCGGGAAGTTATAACCAGCTATTATCTTTTCGGTAAAGCACTTGAGGATAAGTATGACCATTATAAAAAAAATAATCCTAAACGTACAGCTCAGGCATTAGTTAATAAAGAAGTTAGATCGCAACTTCCAAACTCTGTTAGTGATGACTTACTTCGAAAGAAAAAAGAAAGGGCACAAAAAATTTATGAATTATTTACGAAATTGGGGTTGATAAGATTCAGCGTGTTAAATCAATTACAGCTTCATCAATTTCGAAATTAAGTCAAGATGAAATCGATGCTATATTAGTCCATCTTTCACAAAAATAATTTTACTTACTGCGCCTTGTATCACGTGACGTTGTGACCTCGGGTCACATTCTATATAATAAATTTTCTACACAAATAAATTATGTATCGAATTTAGATTTTCTTGCATTTTATAAACGCCCTGCCCACGCACAAGTTCATGTAAATCGTAATTGCTACTCCAGAATAAAGTTAACTTTTTTTCTGTAATATCGATATATATTAAATTGGCAATAAGAGAAATGGGATAAATAAATTCGAAATACATACCACATATAAAAGTTTGACCTTATGAGGCTTATGCATAATTTGTTTGTAAACGGGTCACAAATACAAGTGCTACACATTACAGGTTCGTACGTATAATAAAAAAATTTTAGCCACGTATATATTACTGCGAAGCAATGACCCTTCGGGTCTATTTTTTCTATTAATATAACAATGAAAAATCAGAATAAAAACAAACAAATTTACTTTGAAAGTGGCATGTCTTTAGAGGGTGGAAGCACGGGTGTAGCAATCACTATTCACACCAGTATTGCAAAACATGCAAAATGGTAGTATATAAGAGAATCATAATTTGTCCACGTAAATGCATAACGTATTTGAGGCATACATTGTGCCACAAAATGAAGTAAGAAATTGTGTCAATTTACTTATTTCAGTGCACTCATGATGTTAAATGTTATACAAGGCAGAATACATTGCATAACGATAACTACTTTTTTTTAAAACCACAATTTTGTATAAAAATACAGTCCATAAAAAGCTAAGTAGTTTTACTCATGGATTTTTACAGCCTCAACGCGGTCGGAGACTGGACATACGTCAAAGTAACGGAACACTATCGTGCGAAACTGCAAAAAGATCAGAGGCAAGTGCTAGATTCCATAAAAAAGGATCTTCAGAAGGTTGTATTGGATTTCGAATTTGACGAGACAAAGAGAAAAAAAGCTCAAGAAATTCTTGATCAATGGAAGGTATATTCCTTTAAATAAAATGTGGAAGCGGATTTTTTTTTAATGAGATAGAAATTTAAAGCAAGAGCTTAGTCCAAGTGATGAACTCTTAGTTCGACGCTTAGTGCAAGCTGGGTCTCTTAGCCACCAGTTATGAACTCTTAGTTCGACGCTTAGTGCAAGCTGAGTCTCTTAGCCTAAGGATAGCTCTTGGCTTGATATTATTAATTCCGTATATAAAATACTTGAAAGTAAAAGATACTTTAAAAAGGTGATGTTATTAAAATTGCACAAAAAAAAGAATTAATTCAGTATTTATTTACCAAGAATTGGACAGCACAAAAACCAAAATTGGAATGTTCCAGCACAGCTTCTGACGTACATTTGCAGGTGAGCTTCTATCTAGTCTGATATTGTACTGGCAAAAAAGATTATTTAACATTTCGTCAAATTAGGTTAATAAACTAAACCAACTTAACAGCTTGACTGGAGATTTTGCAACCCAGAACATCGACAATCGCCGTGTAAGTTCGAGAAATCATCATTGCGATGATCAAGAAGAAAAGAGAAACACCAAACCCACTTCTTCAGTCGATGGTTCTGTAGGTGATTTGAATGGCGACCAAGTTGCTGAAATTGATGGAATTATTGTAAATAAGGTAATGCAATGAAAACAGCTTATGTCTTTTTGAACAACATCTGATACCTTTCACTGCAACCATAGATATCTGGCTTGCTTTTTTCAAACATAACACTTGAGGAAATATGGACAAAAGTTATGGAACGATTGAAAAAAGAAAAATTGCGAGTGCAGTATGTATTGTGACAAATGATGTGTGTTTTTTTTTTACTTAACCGCTAAATAATTTCAGGTCTATTGAATCCCGGATTGTGGATCTTTCAAATTGGACGCAAGTCGAATGGAACAGGATTCTTAAGGTATCGGATTATTCGCAATTATTTATCAAGTCAAGAAAAAAGCTCTGCAAGGAGAAGATTGACAAGAATGTGCAACAATTGCTACACGATGAATCTGGTCGGATTGTAAGTCGTTTTTATTTATGTAGTTGCTTGCTTTTTACAACACATTCAGAGATTATAATGGTATTCTGGTAGCGGTCATTAAACGATCTAGAATCATGGAAAAATATATTTACAAACTTAGCATCATCTGAAGATTCGCGATTAACTGTTGGAATAATGGAGTTTTTGTAAGTATACAGTTGAATACTTTGAATGAGATAAAACCAGAAATTCATTAAATTTTCTCACTGGGTTAAATTTAGCCAATAAAATCCTAACTAATTTACACAATCGTATAAAAATAAAATTTGGTGAGGGGTATGGGACCACCCCCCCTTCTTTATTTAATATTTTTTTTGCCGGAACGACAATATACAAATAAAGGAAATATGTTTATTTTTTGTTTAACCATTTGAATTTATTATAATCTAACAATGAACCATCATTAGATTTTATTTTCCAAGTTACAGTATCGATTCCTTGTTCCATCATTTCGTATTTCTTCATGCTTTCCTAATGTTAATGAAATAAAAAACTTAATTCTGGAAAAATATATTTTTTCTCGCAAGCTCGAAAAAAGAAAAAAAGTGTTCACTCATCAGCGAAGATAGGTGATCACCTAGTCTCTGGGTTCGAGCGATTAAATCGCGAGGTGGGATAAAAAGTTTTCTTACTAGTTATAATAGTTTCCGTAGGCTTTGGTTTAGATGGCGTTGGGTTATTAGTGGTGGGAGTGGTAGTGTCATTAGTCGTGGTGATGGTGGTGGTGTCGTTATTGCTCATTTTTCGTTCCTAAATACAAAAAAAAATATAGTTTTGTTATCATAGTCGCGGTTAAATATAAAATAGAACATTACTTTAAAAAATAATTATGGTCAGGTTAAAAAATAATTATATACGAGCAAAAAATATTATTATAACCCACCTACAAGAAATAAAAAAAATCGCTTATTTATACTTAACGTTCGTTAGATCTAGAGAACTTACCAGAAGGAAAATTACAAGATTAGTAATTACGTTACTCTAACACAATGCCAGATCACACTTAACAAAACAACTCCGTTCGGTTATAGACTCCAAATACTGAATATATTTTGCCGTTTTTTTACTAAAAATTAAAACCCCTTTAGAATCAACGATTGGTACTACGAAGTGAAAAAGTCAACGATCTCGCCGATCTGAGAATTCAAACTCCCTGTAACATATGAATTTGGATAAAACTACTGATAAAGAACGTTAGACACATTCTCCTTATAGCCTTTTTAAGTCCCATTCTTATCGCGAGATCGTATATAATAAGAAAAGAGGTTGGACATTATTCGTTATCGTTAACTGTTAAAAAATCAGCCGTGAGAAATAATTTTGCGGAAGGGTAACACAAACCGAATATCTAATTTTGTAATTAAAAAAATTCTAAATAATCCATACATACCGATTTTAAATCCCGACGGCCCTATGAGGCCGTGAAAACCGTGACGTAATAAGAATTATACCGTATTTTTTAGCTTTGAAGAAGTGCCTCTCTGAGGTATAAAATTTTGAATGATTTATGTCATACGTATCGCATATGTGGTTATGGAATGAGGATACTTTGCATTTAAAATAAAACACATGTTTATATTTCTTTGAAGCCACCTATTCCATCCATAGTCTAAAAAATCGATGTGTGGTATAAATCCAGAAATCGTTTGTTGATAGAACATCCAATATCTACGGTAAAATTCGGATATACAAATATTTATGTAATCCTGGCCCCACAACCCCAAATCGTAAATTTGTAGTGGGGCGTTGAAGTACAAGACTAAATATAGCGATTTCGTGTCAAATTTATCGTAATGCCAAATGCAATTTTTATTATAGGCACATTCCCGATTTTGTGTGACTTGTATTACCACCCTATCTACAATAAGATCAAGGGAAATGTTAAAACGATGATTACGGAAAGGACCCCGAGCTATTAGTATATAGGTCAGTGAACTAGATGCGTAGCCAACTTAATAACTTTTTTGGAAAGCGGGCAATAAAAATCACGACCTTGTAGCGATGACCGTATAGTAAATTCTAGATAAGCCACTGTCTCTTGAAAAGAGGATGCTCTGCATCTGTACTGCTGGCTTTTTTCATAATACATTCTCAATATGCGAATTTTATAAAAATTATTCCAAATATTTATATATATCGTTATGATGCAAACCAGTCCCACAGCCCTAATTCCTACGTGTTAATCTTGAAACTGACCTTGCATAATTGTTGTGATTTACCAGTGTTAAAATATAACGATAATACGTATGTACGTACATATCTGCGATGTTGAATTATTTACAACCAAATATAGAATTATTTCATAGCCACATAATATCATATAAAATCATTTTAGAGCAATTTTTTTATCGATTTTCCACCACACTAGATAGTTTTTGCGTTGATAAGATGATTGCTAGAGCTATTTGTACGGGTATGCTTAGTCAAGCAAAAAATTTCGTCTCTAATATTGGGCGATAGGGCCTCTGACTTCGTGTGTTGTGAGACTCAACGGGCTCATAATTACCATTAGGTAACCTAGTACTTTGGTGAAGGTGATAATCTGGCCCGCAAAAAATATGCAATCTATTTATTCTTTATAAAATAGTCTCTCAGGTGTAGTTATAGCCTTTCAAGGCAGGCCTAGGATCCGACTATTACCTCCCTGCAATTTATTTTTTTCTATGCTTATAAAAACCCAATTTTAGAGGGCGTGATCATCAGTTATAATTGTCTTCGTAGCAAGGAGAGGAAGACCCGATAAGCTTCCCATGGTTTAGTCCACTGAGCTACGAGATGAGAAATAGTTCAAATGTATCCACCTCGCTTTTTATTTATTATACTTCTTTCTGGAATAGTCATGCAAAAAATTTTATCTTTATTAAGCGATAGGACCTCTGATTTAATATATTTAATCGATATTCATTCATTACAATACCTCTTGCAAAAATTGAATCCAGAATTAAGGAAGTATTAAGTTAATAAAATCTAATAGGTCTAAATCTCTAAATTTGATATAAATCACATAATCTCTAA